AAAGACAATGAAGACGATAATGACCCAAGCCGTCGTCCCCCGTGGGCGAATTCACCCAACTTTTGCTTGCACGCTGCTGCTACAAGGACAATGAAGACGATAATGACCCACGCCGTCGTCCCCCGTGGGCGAATTCACCCAACTTTTGCTTGCACGCTGCTGCTACAAGGGACCACAATGAGAAAGCATATAAAGCATATGCTTAAACACCGGCCAGATGAGCAGGAGTGAAATTTACTTGCGGCAGTGATTGGGAGGGCTGCAAAGAAGCAGCTGGACAGTAAACTCGGAAACCACACGCAGAATGGGATGGTGCAGCCTGCATTGCGTACATCGAAATGCTGCGAACATCAACCCAACTAGATAAACAAAGGCCCAGTTCTGATCATTTCTGGACCCTCAAACACCTGCACCACTCCGCAAACCCGCAAGATGTCCTGATCCTAGCCTGCAGGACCAAGCCATGCAGACACGTCCATGCAGGAATTGACAGTTGAAACAAGGCAGCCGTCCTGCCTCTGGCACTTGGTAGCCTGCCAAAAGGTCCAGTGAGCACTCTGTGTAAAGCCACGGGCTTCACAGAGTGCTGTCTGCTTCAAGATGCTGCGCCAAAGGTAAACGGAACCGCGGAACAGTCGCTCTCCAAGACTTTGATTGCAATGCCGCGGAAACGCGAGTGCAGAAGCTGAAGTCACCTCGATATTGCGCTGAAGTATGCATGGCTCTTGTATCTAGGACCTTAGGGTGTGTAGCTTCCCGCAGAAATTTTAACCAACAGCACCTGACGAAAGGTCTCCCCCTGGTAGCAGCATCCCTCAAGGCACCCTGCCCGGCAAATAATGTAGGGGCCCTAACAATTGAGAAGTGGGTTTTGGAGGAAATTAAAGCAATACTCTATTACAAGCAGTAACTATAAACTTATATGATACAGTGACAGATGATGTAGACCCCGATATTCTGCAAGCAGAGTGCCGCAAGGCTCACAAGTCAACGGCTCCCGAGTGGAAGACGTCAAAGAGCAGTCTCAGAGCGACGAATGATAAGGATTCCTAGGTATGGTCTGTTCTGCTTTGGAGCAGCAAGGCGCGGAACCACAAGGAGACTTGCTCTTTTGACTTCAGATCCATGGTCTCGCAGACCTCTTGGCCTGCCGCCATATAAACCCTGGCCAACTGGAGCAGCAGAAGTCCTCTGATTGTGGACATGGGTCTATGGATGGATGATGGAGGGAATTAGTTGGTTGTGGGACACCCCGATCTTTTTTGCTTTTGTCTGACTGGACTTCTGTGGCGACCGCCAGCCGGTGGGCCAGAGCTGATATTCGCCGTGTCTTCTGCCTTCTCCAGCATCTTCTACAGCCATCCATTGCAAGCAGGTTCTAACCAAAAAGACAGGCACAACTGACAGTGACTCACGTAAAAGAATGCTAGGACCAGCGAAATTTGTCAGTAGTCCGATGGTGCTTTTGAGCACACAAACGCTGGACACCGACGTGCCGCAGATGGAAAAGTGTGCTACTCATTCAGCAGATGTGGCCGCCCCTCGATCTGCTACATTCTGGAAATACTCCTGTGCTCGGAGCTCCAAGTCGTTGGTGTACATCAGTCTGGCCTTACGCAGCCGACAGCAAACCAAACCGGCGTTGAGGGTTCGTTGCCCGTTGGCGTGAGGGTGGTGCGCGTACGTGAGTCGGTGGTGAATCGCATTGCTTACGCTGGACGCTACTGACCGGCAGTTTCGTCTCGAAGAAATCTGCAAGGAAAGACCCTCGTGGCCCCGGAAGCTGCGAGTCAACCGTAGAACCGGGGAGCGGTCGATACAACACATCGGAATCCATCTAAACAAACTCTAGATTGCAAGCACTCACTCGCGCTGATTACCATAAACTTCAAAAAACAAAGCCATGCGGCTCCGTGCCGAGGCACAGTCTCATCTTCAACCTTCACGTGCTTGCTCAAGACCGCTGGGCAACTGACTGAACGCGCCCGAAGGTTCTCTGCTGCCGGCACTTCAGCCGGCACTTCGAGGAAGGTGAGGCGGTACCTCCGCAGAAAGAGTGCGATTTTTGGCCAAAGGCAAAAAACGGATGTCAGTTGGACGGTGTTGGGGACGAGGCACCTGAGCTCAGCAGCCCGGGCCCGGGACATTTTGCAAAGTCCCAGTCCCAGTGGTCCCTGTTTTGGGCCAAACGCTACGGGACCAGCATGGACCAGCGCTTCCATGCATCGACAGTGCGAACACAGCGCAGCTCTCCTCACCACAGAATGAAGATGTCCTCTTCCTGGCCAGAACCGGATGCAGGGGATCTGCAGTAGACTCTTGAAGCGGTCGGGTCTGAAAAGGCGGAAAGTGGTCTCTTGAGCCCCAGAGCACCCTCGAAAACGTGGTTACCGTGCAAACACTACCTTCCACTTCCGGGAACAAGATTATGCCAGGATAACAAAGGAACATCTAGCAATATGCTGCCTTCTTTTGCAGATCCTTATCCACGACCAAAACTTGAACTGGTCGAGGCTGTACGCATGGCGAGTCAAAGTCCACTGCTGACCAACCCTGCGCCTCTGAGATAAGTAGGAAACTGAATAACACGTCGTTTTCTGTTCCGTCATGCCCATGTTACTCTCTCAGAACAGGTCAGAAGGAATGCCATGCGCGCTTGAGAGTCCAGGTTGCGTCAAGGGCCTAGGTCCTATGTTTCTTCTAGGATTCCGCTGCTGCGAGTTGAAATTGGGCAGCCAGGATCGGAGTTTGAGACTCTCGCGTGATGCGACTTGCCGCGCAGCTCTTTTTCGATTTTTCTCATAATCATAAGACATCAGAACTTAAACCCTAAACATGAAAGACACTCAAACCTTTTGTGTATGACGGTTACGTAATGCCTTCTCCTCTGGTTCAGCTGCTCTGCATGTCTGAGAGTCAGCTACTATACTTTTGCACAAGCCTTCAGGTCTCAACCCTGATCCCCAGTTAAACCCGAATCCCGAAATTCTGAGCGTCAAAACCCCTATCACTACACCCTCTGCCCCAAACGCCCAATCCCCAAAGTTCTACGGTAAACCCCAACAAGTTGGAAACCGCGTTAAGGACAAATAGTGCTGGGATTCAGTATACATGATTCTTAAGGATGGAGGCTATTGTGTTTCCAACTTTCGAGCTTCTACTATAAGAATTAACACCTGAGCCCCTAAACCCTGAGTCCGGAACCGCGAAGGCGTCTAAGAGATGCTCTCCGCAGGTCGCCTCAACGAGCCTGTGAAGTTGCACCACAACTACTGCAAACTCGGATCGTTGCAGGGATTGGTATAGGATTTTGATGTATCTTCAATATTCCTGTATGGTAACGATGATAGCACACATACAAAAATTTAAAATATACATATGTATTATATATATATATATATATATAATATACACACGCGCGCACATGCACGATGTTCCCCTGCAACCCCTGCAACGCAAGGGTACCGTTGTTGTTCCTACTGTTCTGTTTTAGTAGAGACCCCGAAAACAAAAAGGGGGTCAGATGGGTACTGCTGGGATAGTCTTACCGCACGTTCCAGCTCCTACCTTCGGTAGTTCAAGGCTTTCGGGGAAAGGTGCTTATAGGCTTTACATAATCCGGATTTCCGTAGCATGTCTTGTCGTTTCTTCGTGTGTTCTGCACCCCACATCGTTCAACCTGTAACGGGCGCCTCATTAATCCTGTCTTCCTTGTAGAATTCTGAACCCTGCGAATCACACAGTGTACATCAGAAGAAGACTCGCATGGGTATGTATGTATGTACATATACCAATTATGTATATATATATATATATATGTATATGTAATATATGTACATGTACATGAGAGATCGTGAGGTTGAGGCCACGACGTCAATCGCCAAAGCTCCGAAGGCGTAGCAGAGCAGCACCGATCGCTCGAAGACACCTCGGTGAACCCGGATGATGGCGACGATGGATGAAAGGCGGATCAGGAGCGAGGATGCTCATCACGACGCTTATGGTTTTGACTATGATGATGGTGGTTATGCCCGTCGGGTGATAACCTGGTGACTAGGATTTGCGCGATGACGACGATGATGCGGATGGTGGCGACGATGCCGGTGATGACAACAGCGGTAGGGATGACGATGATGGCGGCACTCATCGTGACGAGAGTTACGGCAAACACAACTGATGTCGTCAGTTTTGCTGCTAGCTCTGCTGCCGCTGCTGCTGGCTTGGACTCAGGGCGGACAGCTCTGAGGCAGGGGCAGTCGTCGATCACGTAGGCGAAGTGCGCTCGCGCGCACGATTCGGGCTCAGGGATCTGGCAATACGGCCATGCAGCAAAGAATCAGGCGCATTATAGTCTACTATAGTTACTGTTTACCGTGATGGAAACCATTATGGCTTTATGGGTTCATGGGCTCCGGGTCGTCGAAAAAACACCAACCTCCGCAGAAACCCAATTGCAACAATTGGAGGAGCTGTCGGCTCTTCGACGACTTCCGGTATCAGGTCAACATGTGGCTCAAACGAAACGTCACATCATATCACAAGCCCATGTGCCTAGTGCTACGTTGGAAGACTCCGAGGACATGTGCAGGCTCCTTCGGCGGAACAGTCTCAGTGCGTTGGGCACACCTTGCCGCCAGCAGAAAGGGCCAAGGCAAACCAAACAATCCGCCGGGCCAACCAAAAACATTATAGACTTCGCCAGAAAATCAATCGAGTAATGAATAAGCCCACCAAAAAATGCATCAAAGAGGCGCACGTCCTTACAAGCAATGCCATGTTAGACTGTGACAAAGTGCCAGAGTGAGTACCTGACACACAACCCTCAGACCCAGCAGCCCTTGCCCATGGGCTCTCAAACCTGGGACCTATAGACCTAAACCGCGAAATCCTGCATCAATACACCGCGAGGCTTTATGAACGCCCAGAAGCCCGGAACTCTCAACTCTCGGCCTCAGGCCTCTGCTGTAACTTACACTCCACACGACGGTTTAGGGTTTAGGGTTTAGGGCCCCTCAACTCACCGCCCGAAGCCAACCGCAAACCTCAACGCCAGCTTGACGTCTCCACGCCGAACTTCGGCAGCAGCCGAGCCCTCTGGTTACAGGCCCGAAACCGCACAAGACAACTTCTGGGGAACCCTGAACAAGATTGCAATGCTATATCATACTATAGAACCCAATATACTAGAGTAGAGGATAAGATAATAAAGTACACCATAATATGGTTCGTATGTTCATGGGCTTCTTGGGCCCCCGACTAGCGCTCGTCGCACGGCCGCCTTTAGAGAAGGGCCTCATCGTGCCGCGGGTCGTGTTCTCAGGGTTCGGTATTTGGGTTTAGGGTTTAGGGTTCAGGTACTTGGGGATTTGAGGTTGGGGCTTGGCGATTCTGGGTTCAGAGTGGCTGTGTTCGTGGGAAGCCCATGCAATCCCTTGCACGGTTTCGGTTTGAAGGTGGAGGGCATGGTCTTTAGGGTTGGGCCGGACAGGTAAACCCTAAACCCTAAACCCTAAACCCTAGGCTTCTGTGCTTCTCCTGCCCGGGTATCCGTTTCATTCAGGGCTTTTGGGGCTCGCGTCGATTATGGAGCCAGGGCTTGAAGAAATCTCGGCAGAAATAGGAAGCTGCCTCGGGGCCCCGCGAGATGTTACTTTGCTAGGGATGAAGCTGCTGATAGAAGGGCCTTAACAGCTAGAACAAGGCTTGTCGTAGATTATAGAACAGTTATACTAAGGAACCTTACCAGATGAGAGTAGTATCTATTCTAGCTTCTATATTGGATCGTCGAGGCTTTTTGCGTGCTGTGTCTTCGGGACTTGCAAGGAGGAGCACTGCGTACAATCAGCCTCGCTGGAGCGGGGTTACGGATCCCGAGCTGCTTGAGTATAGTACTTCATTATAGTGTACATAATCAGTTGTGGCCAGAAGTATATCTTATGGTAGTATGCGATATTAAACATAGCCGATGGTTCTGATCCATGGTCTGAAGAAGCACGACTTCACGAGGCAAGTTCAACCGCAAAGGTTCCGCTACGGAGGCGCGTCGCCCTGAACACTTGAAGGAATACCTGTAGACACCGCGCACTATTGGTGAACTGAATGGGTTGCTCACTCCTCCCTCTTGCTGGTCTGTGCTTTCTCTTCCTCAGGTTATCCTGTTACTACACTGTGTGACTACTGTTGTAAGTAGAGTTTCTAGTCATACTGTAAGGGTGGGCGCACACTCAACTTCGCTTGAGTGTTACGGTTCAAGCTATAAATGTATTTGGAGATTCGAAGATGAGCTTTGCATGTTAGATAAGGGCAGATGCACAGAGCAGTCGGTTCATGAGCCCAGGGTAGAACAAACAAAAACTTGGAGATATTGTCGCAAGAAGACTACGCGGCATCAGTGTGTCGAATGGCGACTCGTCCTTCTCACCATACTACATCCATGCCACATTTCTCGAGAACTGGAATTCTCACAGCAAGGACCCATCCAAAGCCAATCTGAGTGCAGGCCTTCTTCCTCCAGCTTCGCCAAAGGGCAGCTCCTGGACTTGCACAAGAGCCCAACAACACTTGAAGCAAGATTTTCTCTCGTTGAGTGTTTGCTCGAAGTTTCCAGGTACTAGCAGTAGCCTTGTCCCTGAAAGCAGTGACAGTATTTCAACCCTGCACCTGCGAAATCTGCACTAACTTCAGCAAAGCTGAAAATCTGAAGCCACTGCAAGCGTCCTCAGCCAAATGAGCGGAATTTTCCAAAGAGCCAAGTGCCTGGAGCAAGGTGAAGGGAAACAGCAGAGCAATGGCAACAACAAGCAGCAACGCACTACTGTCTGGAGTCTACGAAGAGGTGCGGGAGCTGTAGTCGACGCGAAAGCAAAAAAGCAAGGCCGATGTTCGGAACTCATCCTTTCTTGCACCAGTCTCCGCTTAGTGTCTCTTACTTCATGTGTCGAACACCTCGAAACTGGAGGAAGTAGACTCCTGTTTTTCACTCATATCTCGAACTAACTGACTAACTACATCACTTACTTACTTTCTTTTTTCTTACTTACTTGCTTACTTGTTTACTTACTTTCTTTCTTTCTTACTTACTCACCCACTTACCAACTAACTAACTAACTAACTAACTAACTAACTAACTAGCTTACTTACTTACTTA